GATTCTTCATCACCTCTATCTTTCTCTTTCTAAAGTTATACTACTTGAATCATATCTTCGAACTATAATCTTCTCCATTACCAGTAATACTTCTACTATCGCTATCACTCTTGGGTTTGAAGTGACAGTTGCATTTTTGTGCTGATGCAATATGGTAACCTGAACTTGCGTACTCATGTACGAAGTTCTACGTTGTAATTGACTGACTGACTGACTGTTAGTTAATAGGAAAATATTATTGTTTGCCAAAATATATATATACATAATCATTGTGGATATTCAGCGTATACTATCCTATTTTGAATCATAGTATTTCGGAGATTATTGTTTTCTTACCCACTGAAATCATGAGTGAATTAATGGTTGTTGGACCTCCATTAGAAAAAAAACCTGGAAGCACTGAAAGACGTCCGTTTCGTTCTGTTTTTGGCCTACTCATCAGCAGTGCGCGCAACCAAAGTTTAGGCGTTTGTGCGTAAGTCCGAACGTCCTGTTGGTTCGAATCCTGATAGTAGCAAGAGTCTTGGATGGGGACTGCCACTGAAGAGTCCCATACCAGGAGAAAACGGCTGTGCAGTGCTTGTGGGCTTCTAATGGTTGTCTAACAGTGATCAGTACATAACTTCAATGAAACTCATTAATCTCCATAACTCTGTAATAATAACAAAATTCAGTGTTATAAATTCAATCTCTCGCATATTGTCCGCTTAGTCGAATCACTTTATTTTCGAATCCTCTTATGACACCTTCACTCCCCCTATTACGCAATCACAGTGACTATGAAATTAATCTTGCTCTTGTCTTCTAACCTCAATGGACAATCAGAACACCTAGTCAACTAACGAAATCATCCATTATCCTCTAGTCATTCATTGTTTTTTCAACTCATAGTTCTATCTCTCTATCTTATCAATTCACCTCAATAGGGAAAGTCTATGAACCTATGGAGTTTGATAAAAACTTTTATGAAGCAATAAAATTGAGTAAATATTCATGCTATACTACTTATATCATCAAATCACAATTAATGTGGAACATGGCACACACACACACATGTATATAATAGGTATGCGTCAGCTGAATGTGCCATCATCATATCATGTTAACGTTAAGCGTATGATTAAATTTAAAAAAACCATAATTGATATAAAATAGTCATATTATCTAATCTAATATTATGACTTGTGATGAACAAAGCAACTTTTCATGATTATCAATTGTTTCGTTCGATTGTGGATTGGTTGTAACTGCTTGTATTGATTGAGACAAAAAATAACCCAGTGGTTTTTGCTTTTTTTTTTACCTGTTTTGTAAATCATTTTTTTTTTCATCTACTGATTGATTGTAGATGATGTAAAGTGCATTAAATGAAAAACTAATGATTAGTTGATAAAATTTTTTAATGGTTATTCACTTACTTACTTACTTACTTATGCCTGTTACCCCTAATGGAGCATAGGCAACCAATCAGCGAATTATTCTTTTCTGGTTAGGGTTTTTTAATTTAAATGAGTTGGATTTCTATGGGATGCAGTCGCTAACCCCATCATGCTCAACCCTCCACCTTTATCTGGGCTTGGGATTGGCAGTAACCGCAGAATGGCTCTTGAAGGAGTTAATGGTTATTTTTGCATTAAAGTCGATTCATCATATCAGGTAATCGAATGGTGTATTATGTAGGACCAGGGGACTTCTGCTTATTGTTGAGAGTAGTGGGACAACCGAGTAAGCAATGCTATCGTTAGGAAACGAGTACTAGGTAAGGATGGCAAATCAGTAGACTTCATCAGTTGAGGTGTTTGGGACATGTGTTACGTATGGCTAACCACCGACTGCCTCGACGAGCTATGTTTTGTGGTGTAGGAGTAGATTGGAAGAAAGCTAGGGGCGGCCAAACCGAAACATGTCAGAAATTCATGAAGTCACTGACAAATGGACTGAGTCATGTTAGTAGATGTAGACTACCTGGTTGGGGTCTGCGAGACGAAAGTCATCAATCGTTAGAGACCTTGAATGACATGGCTCAGAATCGTTTGCGATGGCGCAGGTGCATCCACTCTTTGTGTTCTTTCAAATCCTAATCTTCTGGATTCATCAACACCTCTACCTTTGTCTCTCTAACCTTATCTCACTGAATGATACTTCTTGAATAATATCTTCAAACCCTAATCTTCTTCATTACCATTAATACCTCTACTATCTATTTCACTATGTGATTTGATTTGACATTTGCGTCTGTGTGCTAATGTGGTATGGCAACCTGAACTTATGTACATACATACGAAGTTCTACGTTGCATCTGACTGACTGACTGTTGCGAGTAGTGATGATGAGGGATTTCTCGGATCGTAGCAAACAAATTATTCTACTTTCATGTACAAAAAATACTTTGAAATTTCTGTCATTATGATTGTAGTACACATTCAATTGTTCTGCATTTTTATTACCTTTTTTATCTCGACCAATGTGGAGTCGTCCTCTTACATATTTAAAATATTTTTCCTATAATTGGTCATCTCTGTTTTTTCGTGTTTGATAAATTTTATTTTTAAATCATGTCCACTTTTCATATTTCTGTTTGTCTATGTGTGCTAATGTGTTCATGGAACCATTGAATGTTTTGTTTATCTCTCTCTATTTATTATGTTGTAAATTGACTAAGTTTTGATGTAGGTTTTTTTAAGTGGCTGAGTTAAATTTTTAAGTGTATGGTTTGCAATTTTAGAGTGGCTAGACATGTATTAAGCGAAGTAAGCAGTACACACACACACACACTCACACATACTGGAATAATCTGCCAGCAAATGAACTGTTTTGTGGCCTTCATTAAATTCAAATGAGATGCTCATCACTTTAATAGTGATCTTCCTCTCGATTTCCTTAGATCATTCTTAGGCGAATCCCAGTTGTGCAACGGAGGTAATACCGAAGCCAAATACAGTTTTGCGGATGAATTTATTTCATGCACTCATTCATGCAGATAGACAAGAGAACGAAAAGTGTACAAACAAAGTAGAGTGAAGTGTAGAAGGCCGGTGATCCAACTCAATGTAATAATTAGACATGACTAAGGATTTATGATCAGACAAAACTAAGCCAGCAGATACACACTCAAGTAAAGGCAATCAAGGTTTTATGCTCGTCAATTGATAGGCTTGACACTACCTTAATTGGTAAACGAGAGTAAAGACAAATGATCCAGTGACACGATAGGCGATTCTTATCCGGGCGTCCTGAAGCCACACTAAGTAGAGGAAGAAGCATTGACAAGACCGTAGAAAGTGTATTTTAAAAGCACCCAGAAAATCAAGGTCGACAATTACACAAATAGAGTTCATTTATACATGATAGAAACCTCCTTGGTAGAGTCACAAAAATAGCGTACTAAAATATTTCATCAACCAATGACAGTCAAGGACTTTCCGAGTGGGAAATGTAATCTCAAGATCAACCGATCAGCCCATGTGCGAAAGTATAAAATCCAAAATTAAGAACTTTATCAAGTGAGTTCTGGGGATCTAACGTCCACAACAAACACTATATTTAAAATGCAGATATCAGTCAGTCACAACGTAGAACTTTGTACTTACGTAGATATATTCGCGTCGAATGTTGTTTTCAATAAGTTCTCATCCGTTTCTTTACCACTAAAAAAATTCAAATTAGTGTTCCGAAATGTTTAACGACATACAATACATCAGTTCAGGTTGCCATACCACATTAGCACAGAGACGCATAGTGGACCCAAAGTGGAAGAGATAGTAGAACTACTGGTTATAGAGATCAGGATTTGAAGATAATATTCAAGAAGTATAATTCGGTGAGATAAATTTAGAAACAGAAAAATAGGGTGTTGGCGAATTCAGAAGATTAGGATTTGAGAGAACACAAAGAGTGGATGGACTTGCGCCATTCCGAACGAATTTAAGCCATGTCATTCAAGGTCTCTATCCATCGGTGACTTTCGTCTCGCGGACCTCAACCAACAGACTATAATTTTAAACGACATTCTTTTTACTTGAAATATGAATTTGAATTGATAATTGTGAAGCTTAATGATGGTTTGTGTTTATTGACTTGGCCTATGGTGCCGAGCCATTCATGTTTGAGATGGCACGTTTTGAATTTTTGGCGCGGAATTTATTCGCCCGTATGGTTAAATAACATTTTTGATATTATATGTAGCTAATGTTAGTTCGTAATGAAACCCTTCCGCCGACCAACTCTAATTCCTAATCCTTACATCTAGCTCTACAGGCTATTCTCAATTCCTCACAATAATTTACAATCCACTTTTAGCCTTCAGTCTGTCAGTCAGT